GTGTTTGCTGGGTGAAAAGCAAACGTATTGTTTCCTGTTTTTCCTTCGTTTTGGTTTTTGTATGCGCGCTTTTCCAGAGTGGCCCATTATTTCAGCCTGCTTATGTCTTGAGGGGGAAGAAGAGATTAACTCTCCTGGATTTCAAAGAAAGAGAAAGAAAAAGAGAGAGAAAAAGCAGCCCTGTAGCCTCGGGCTGTCCGGACACTGTATTCACAAACAGGCTTTTAATTAGAGGCTGGAGAATGAGGGCCCTTGTGAAATGTGTGTTCTGGACAGGACGGCTTTTGTTGGAGATAGGGGCCGTTTTTAACAGCTTCTCGGACCCCCCATTTAATGCTCCACTGGCTGGAACTACTTAAAAAAACATTAAACTGGAAACCCTCTTTCTTTTTATTTGCTTTGGAGTAAATTAACCTGCTTTCAGACGCTGCTGGGTCTTGAAGACTCAGCCTGCTGGAGCGCTGCATTAGCGATAGTTCTGGCGTTGATCAATACTATGACTTTTTTTTATATATCAAACTGAGACAGGGAGGTTGATTGTGTTGGTTTATGCCTCTTAAACCAAACTGCAGATTTGTATTGCGCCAATAAAATGTTACAATCTTCATCTGACATGCTCACGTTTTAAAGGGCTGCATTTTTCTTGTATTGTATTTCTCATTTAAGCTGTTTCTGAGGTCCATTTATAATGTTTATGTGGCTTTATGTACCAAAAACGAGGTTTTCGAACCTTTCTTTATGTCTCAGAATTAAACAGGCCGTTTTTGTTACTGTGCATTTAAGACTGATGTATATTAGCTCTGTTCTGATTGGCTGTCCTCCATTCAAAAATCATTCCGGGCTGAAACACTGCTTATAACTTCATCATGAGTGGGCGGAGCTAAACTGTAGTAGGCGGAATAGGTGGATATAGGTCATTATTCTAAAAGGGGTTGTTTTCTGACATCACAAAAAGAGTAAATTCAAAAATTTTAAATGTTTATTAATATATGGACTGTGACAACGTTTAACAACGTTTAAATACTACATCAAACTCTTTTATTTCTAAAAAGTGAGGGAAACTAGGTTTTTTTCAAGATTAGGGCCCTTTAAAAACATACAACGTTTAAAATGTAAAGCATTCCTGGATTTGAGAACCCTATTACTGAAATGACAAATACAATTTTGATCATTTAATTATTATATTTAATTTTGTTTTTGTATCATTTTACATTATTTTTATAAATACAACTTTAAATTAATACAAGTCTAAAAATGGAACTTTCCTCCTCCTGTATCCTTCACGAGATGCGTCTAACAGGGTTTGGAAGTGGTGTTAATTTGAAAAAGTGACTGCAAGTTGGGCTAAAAACAGTACAATCACTGTTTTCCACAATATGGATCTAACAGGGTTTGGAAACGGTGCTAATTTGAAAAGCAAGTGCTGCTGCAAGTTTGTGAATGATTTTAGCAGACCAGCTGACTGGATGGCTTCCACAGTGGCGACGTGGCTCACGTGACCCCACGGGCAGGGAGGTTAATCATATTATCACGTGTGCTGCACTGGACATTTGCGCTGGTTTGGCTCGGTTTCGGATGAGGCCTCTTTGCTCACTCTGTCTGCGCTCTTTTGCCTCAGGACTCGCTGGCAGGTCTTAATGCAATTGCATCACCAAACAGGGCAGTGCAGAGAGAGAGGCAGAGACAGAGAGGTTAACAGAAAGAAGGAGAAAGAGACTGAAAGAGATAGAGAGAGACAGAAGGGGAGAGAAGGAGAGGGGGAGAGAGAGACATAGATAGAGCGGAGAGAGAGAGAGACTAAGGGGAAAAAGGCAGGAGAAGAGAAAGAGGGAAGAGAGAAAGAGAGGGATAGAGAGAGAGAGAGAGAGAGAGAGAGAGAGAGAGAGGATGTGTCTCTCAGGATTTCTTCTAGGTCTCATCACCACATTAAAAGCTGAAATGTACTCAGCCCTAATCAGGCGTGTCACGTGTAGTAGTACAGCAATAGAGAAAGAGAAAGAGAAAGAGAGAGAGAGAGAGAGAGAGAGAGAGAGAGAGAGAGAGAGAGCGCGTGGCTAGGTAACAGGGTTGCCAACCATCCATTAATTTGCAAAATTTTCAAATGTACAATTTACAAAAATTTACAAACAAAACAATCTAAATTTCATCTTCTCTAAATTTGTAATTTTCATTATTATTATTTTTTAACAGTAAACAGAAATCAGTCTCATCAGTAAAACCATGAGTGTAGGTTGCCGACCCGGTCGAGTGCGCAGACGAGAGTCTCTACATCACAGGGTCACGTTACGGGTTTTCAGTAAGTGCTGTTTGGGCAATTTATGCACCTACAGACACACAAACTCAATTCCTAAAATTATAGAATTGCAGTCAAACGTTTGGGTGCCCCGTGATCACATTCCATGTTGTGTTGTTTTTCCAAGTGAAAATAAGTGAACACAACACACTTCTGCACATTTTAATAGCTGAATTTAACACATTGGGAACAAAAAAAAATACTTACAGTGTGGCCAGTGTGAAAGTGAGGGCAGAGTTTATGTTTACATTTATATGTAATTTTTTCCAATATGCTAAACTCAATAATGCCATATTTGTGTTCTCAGTAGGAGGATGTGTTCACTTATTTTCACTTAGAAAATCAACAAAGATGTGGAATTTGACTCTGCAAGTCTCAGGCACCTAAGCACATCATTTGTAATGTAATACGTGAGTATATAACTACTACTATACTACTATACTATAACTAATAAGATATTACCTGGATCAATGTAATGATAGATTGATTAGCCAAACTATGTAGAATATTAATGTTTTTCTGAGCAAATAAAAGCATCATATATATATATATATATATATATATATATATATATATATATATATCTCCATTATTCATGATGAGTGGACCGAAAGAAACAGCCCAGAATTACTTAGGGAAAAATGAAACAACAGAAATGAAGAAGCACTACAGAGGTCACAAAAATGCAACAAAAAGACAGGTGCTCCTGGGGCATGGGTGCAGAAAACTGAATGGTTCCATGCTGGGACCCCAAAAACGTATCCATCTGCCTCCACAAGGCATGTGCAAAATAAATCCCAGAGCAAAGAAATCCCGGGCACACCGTCCTTAGGAAAAGCCTTTATTGAAACATGGTAATAAGTATGAAAGTGTGCCAACGCGTTGCAGCCTTCTCAGGCCTTCATCAGGACACAGAACAACGGCATGTCCACTTTTCCTAAGGACGGTGTGCCCGGGATTTCTTTGCTCTGGGATTTATTTTGCACATGCCTTGTGGAGGCGGATTGGATACTTTTTTGGGGGGTTTTGCCTCTCCCACCATGGAACCATTTCTTTTTTACTTGGGAAAAAGTCTGGTTCCATTGACTTACATTAAAAATATAGTATGTTTTTTCCTTCTCCTGTTAAGTTATGATTTTGGAGATACGAGGTTTTGTTCTGACAGCAGTGATGTATATATACTTTCTTTACACTCACATTGCATCATTAATTTAATGTTTAATGTAGTACGTTAATTTACTTGGATGTTACTGCTTTCAGACTATAAATTCAATAATCAGTGGAGGAGCAGACAGAACAGACTAAAACAATCAAATGTACAGTTTGGAATGAACAAAGAATCTCTATCACACACAAACATTCTCACTCACAGATAGCAGGGGACTGTCTCAGACTTGAGTGTTGACTCTTAGTGCATCCAATATATCATGTGCTTACACTTCATTACACTCTTTTACTGCTCGAGCAGCTCCCCCCATCACATTAACACATAAAAATAAGCCCCCCTCCACCCCCAACCCCCACGCACATTCTCCTGCGATTCCCCATCTCTCCAAGAACACTAACACTGCGGCACATGATGTCGAAGATGACTATAGGCAGTGACGGTAACACAAGACCGGCCCCTGCATTAACTTCACTGATTCGATCTTATCTGACAGTCTGCACAAATAGCACTCTCTCTCTCTCCCTCCCTCTCTTTCTCTCTCCCCCTCTCTCGTTCCTCTGGCCTCAGCACAACACAGGGGTCATAAACGGGCAAATAAACATAACTGCAAATGCACCAGGAGCGCTACTGCCCTCTGTGGGTCATTTGGGCCATTATTCATAGTGGAATGTCAGAGAAGGTTCAGAGATGAAACAGATAAAAAAAAAAGTTGTGAGAAAGAAATGCAAAAAAGCAGCGCCGACTCCTGAAACAAACAAACATACAGGGCGAAGATAAGCCGAGGCAAATGAAGGGCCAAGCTGGCGTCTAGATGTCTGCCTGCTTTCCTCATTTTCCATCCAAACGTGTCCAACTGTCTGGCATGTGGTTGCCCTAGTGCAGTGGTCCGTACAATATTTTCACACCAGGCACAACCTCAACTAGTCTGAAGGCAAAGGTATATTTGCCAGGTATAATCATTTAACATAGGGTTTTTATGAGCCTACATTGCTGATGTTAGCAGAAATCCACTGTTTTTTTTTTTAAATTTCAGCAAAATTTTGTGGTTGAGATGAATAAACAAGGTACTTCAGAGTGGTTTGGTGTGAAATGGTAGATTGTAGAGATTCCTTTACGAGACTGTAGAGGTGTCTTTACAGTGGTGGTGATAGGAACCAGGGGTCGCCATGACTACAACACAAATATAGACATTTTATTTACTATCCAGAACCACCAGTGAACCTACACGAGTCTTCTGAGTTTATATGGAATGTTGATGGTTAAATAGTGGAAAATCTGAGTAAGACTTTATTTGGGGTGGTACTTTGTAGATGATCAATAAACTCTTAAAAGATTATCAGTAGTGAAGCACTGAATACACTGAAGTAAATATCTTGTAGATGTTCTGTTGATACATTACTTACATTAAGTAGATGTGTTGTTAATATGTTACTTCCACTGCACAAAACCTAACCTTACCCAACCTTACCCAAATCCTAAACCTCACCCTGGGCCTAATCCTAACCCTAACCTTAACCTCAACCTAAAACCTAATCCTAACCCTCACCCTGGCCCTAATCCTAAGCCTCATATGTTTTTGACATTTTGACTCTGTTGAGTGTTTGTTTCATTTAAAAGAACCACTCTAAATAAAGTGTCACTAAAACCTGAAAAGATACGTTTTCTTTGGGCACCACTTTACCTTCCAAAGCCTGGCATGTACCCCTCCAACATGAACAGACTTTAGGCCAACAATTTTCCTCAAAACGATCATAAAACAAAGTTTCAGGCATCCGGCAGTGTATTCATAACCATTTCATGTAGCTGCTTTCTGTTAAGAAGCTTTTAGAGGCATTAATCTATTCAGACATCTGGTTCCTATCACCACAACTGTGAATAATTCTGACATTCAAACTATATCTTAACCATTTAAATTTGGAAACATTAGCGAAATTCCCCTCCGATGCTAACTAGGCTGACTTAGCCACTGTTGCCTAGCTAATGCTGAAACTTCAGCTTCAAAGTAAACTACATGTAAAAGGGAGGGTTAATTTGTCATGGCAATTTTTGGTTTCAATTAAATTTGTGTTGAATTTAAATTGCCAACATTGATCCAGACTTCCATTCCTCATTCCTATAACTTAGGAATAAGTTAGGAATAATAACGCAAACATTTTGCATCGTCTTCCGTATCTGAATAAGAATTAATCGAATATCTAAAGTTAATTGTGTTATGTTACAAGATTATGTTACGGCACTACAATGCACCCCCTGCCTGTACTTGTGGACAACTGCCTTAGCGTCTAAGATCTTTGCCGGGCGCAGCATTCTTCTGGCCCCTCATTGATATTCCTGAACCGGGCCAGTGGCAGGGTTTCTGTGAAGGCCTGACTCTTTAACGGCTGTTTGTTTGGGATGGGCCAGTCTGGCTGGGCGGCACAAAGAGCCTCAGTGTCCCCGAGCCTCGTCCAAACGCAACTCCCCAGTGGCAGAGACAGAGAGAGAGAGAAGGAAAGATAGAGCGCTATGGCCAAGCTCACATTTCACTCTGCAGAAAGAGGGAGGTCAAACCAGGCAGGCTAGGGGAGAGAGAGATGGAGAGAGCGAGGGAGACAGACAGTGAAAGAGAGAGGGAGGTCAGGTCAGCGAAGCAGAAAGAAAAAGAGAGAGAAGGAGACAGACAGGAGATAGAGAGAGGAGGAGACAGACTCTTACAAAGGGCCTCAGTGTTTCTAGTCAGCAGCAAACACACATCAGAAACAGTTATGCTGGGATTCGCAAACACAAACCGAATGGGTCCACCCGCATTTAATATTATTACTTTCGTTATTAATATTATTATTCTTAAATCGTCCCAATGTGCTGGATCCCAACGTTTCCCTGCTGTCTGCAGCCTTCTGCTGCCACAGCAACGACGCGATCGATTCCACGATTGTTGGCAAACGCTCTTCGCTTCCGTTCACCCACACACAGTCTGATAGAAAACGCACACAGGTCTTTAGACATAAAGTCACATGGCAGTTGTCTTTTGATTGCTTCCTAACACAGAGAAAAAAGGAGGGCTGTAAAGGGGGGGAGGGAGAGTCAGTTGACATCAGATCAGGCTCTCTGAGTATCTCCAGTGTCGGTAGACTCCTTGCTCTTTAAGTCCTTGAGGTTTATCCAGACTCATCTCAGATTTTGTGACGGCTTGGAGCCCTCCAGCACTCTTCGTATCACATACACTCGCATACGTGTCTGCTGACCACAGTAAAACCCACAAAACAGAATGAAGGGCTGGAAAAAGCAGGGAAAGCCGTCACGTCCACCGAGTCAGCTGAGAGAGACTTTCTGCAAATGCTCAAATGCTACTGTTTGCTGGACAGTCAACCTAGCAGTTCACAGTATACCGATATTAATTGATTCGTTTACTCCCTGGTTCCTAAAGAGTTGCCTTCAGTCGCTTATCGGCCAAGAGGCAACAGAGGCCGCCAATGTACTAAGTGCTAAAGGTTGTGGGGAAGCTTTAGGGAAAGTTCCACTCCATCTTCTAACTCTCTGTTTCTTTCTCTCTCTGTGCTGAACTTTCTTTTACAGTTTTCCCAGTGGTGGTGTTAGGATGTTTTGGAGACTTTTGGAGACACTGGATGGCAGTGAGAGAGTTTGGGCAAGTAGGAAGTCACGGCAGGAGAGAGAAGTCCAAATTTGAGTCTGAGTCTCTGGGGCGATGGCAGTCCGAAGGACAAAATCAAGGCCTCACTGTCCATTGGCAGTGCGCTCGCTTGCATTCTTACCCAAGCTGAAGTGGCTGTAGTCCTGCAGCTCGCTGTGCCCCCTAGTGGAGTGGAGAGAGGGCCGAACCAAGGATGCATTGGTACGCGGCTGTACAGGGTAGTGGTGATGGTGGTGGTGTCCACTAGGTGTGCCGTTGTTGCTGTTGAAGTTGAAGCCATTGTGGGTCCAGCGCGGAGGATCGCCATAATCTGATTGTGTTGTGGGTGCTGAAACCACCCTCCTGCGGTCGGGCGAATCTTGAGGTGTAGCAGGGCGATAATCACCAGCGGAATTACGGGTTGCAGGGGCTGAACAACGCCCACTTTGCTCTCTCTGGATGGGAGGGTGAGATAGTATCAGATAGCGCTGCCTCTCAGTGTGTGGGGCGACGTCACCCGGATCATCTTGTCGCCCTCCGTTGCTGCCCTGGAGGTAATCAGAGCTCAGGTACAAAACGGCGGTGTTAGCTGGCCCAGTCTGGGTGATAAAGGTCTGGCTCTGGTCCCAGTCGGAGTCCGGGAGGTGGACGTTGGGCGTGGGACGTTTCTGTTGCAGTGGGGTCTGCTCTGGGGTTGGCAGCCCTGGGTCCATCTCTCCAGACTTGGGCCATCCGTTGGTGAAGAGGTTTTCAACCTGAGAGTGAGGTCTTTCGCTAATCCTCGTCACGCTAATCACGGAACCGCTGCGTCTGTGTCCCAGCATGCTCTGCTCCTTGTCGCCCTTGCGCCGCCCAGCAGGGCCGGACCCTCCTCCTCTGGTGCGTTGGCGGTGCTTGACTGTCATGATCCAGCAAACCATCAGGCCAGAGAGCGCCGCCCCAGTGGCAAACGCTGAAGCTGCAGACAAAACCAGTAGGTTGACGGACACCAGGCCGTCAGGCTCCTCCACATAACTCTCCTGCAGGAGACCTGAGCACACACAAACACAGAAAAACAAGAAAAATACTCAGTAAAAAAACAAGAACACAGTCATAACCAACTGAGAGTCATTAAACAAAGTCATAACCAACTGAGCGCCGTTACTGACTTCACCTTCTTTTTATCGGTCTCAAAAAGCTGAGTCATTTATTTCTCAGTAGGGGGGGTGGAATGTGTAGGAGAGAAGCTAAGCCATTGGTGCAGGGACTAATTATGCTCATTAGCTAAAGTGTATGGTAATTTTAATAGCTGTAATAACTGTCTTCCTGATTGAAAGTATCACTGTGCCTCCACTTGCCTCGCAACATTAACTCTCCTGTGGAAAATTTCTGCTGCGGAATAACTCGGGAACTGCCAAACTTCTAAACTGTATTTACATGTGGAAAAAGTTCTGTTTATTATGAACAGGTGAACACATGCGAAGGCCATCGAGGCAGGTTAGCACAAAGCTGCCTTTCGTCTTGAAACCGGCAAAACGTTTAAGCTCTGGGAAGAGTAGAGCTAAATTATTAATGGGGGTTGAATGGAGAGTGCAAATCCTGACAGAATGAATCAATTACACAAATATCAGAACAGTGCATCTCTGTAGTCCAGGAACTAGAGATGTATATCAACAGAACTGAACAGAGACGGAGAGAGAAAAAGAACAAGAAAGAGAGGTCAACTCTCTGCATGCTGCCCTGCCTGTAAGCCGGTGCCAAAAGATATTCATTAAATCTGTTAAATCCCAGCAAAAGCTAAACAGATAAACGTCATCAGCACAGATTTTTCCCGGCAACAACCATTACAGCCAACGGTACAGAACACACACGGCCTTAAAAACAAACACCCTTTTATTGTCTGACAAAACCTGCTTTAATGGAGACGAATAGCAGCAATTATACTCAGGTGAAAACCAACTGGCTGGCTTTTAGCTGAGGCTTTCTCGTCCAACTGCTTTATTCACAGACATAAAACAAAGAGAGAGGGAAGCCCTACATAAACAAATATCTCAGATTATATCAGTGTCCCACTGGTGGACCAAAAGTATCAGAGAGTTACTGTATGTTAAGACGTTACAGGTAACAATAATGATGATTTACTGTGCAGGTGTATGTAGCGAATGTATATTTAAAGCAACACGTACTGCTTCTCATCTTTAGCGGGAATAATTATATTAAAATAACAAAACAAAAAAATATAATGGCAAACACTCACTGGCCACTTTATTAGAAACACCTACCTTGTAGTTCCACTCACTGACCACTTTATTAGAAACACCTACCTTGTGTTTTCACTCACTGGCCACTTTATTAGAAACACCTACCTTGTGCTTCCACTCATTGGCCACTTTATTAGAAACACCTGCCTTCTACTTCCACTCACTTGCCACTTTATTAGAAACACCTACCTTTTGCTTCCACTCACTGGCCACTTTATTAGAAACACCTACCTTGTGTTTCCACTCACCGACACTGCTAGGTTGAGAGCGGACCACCGCCCAAAAATATCCAGACAAGAGTGGCTCTGTGGTCAGGAACTGACCCCTGATGAAGGACCAGAGGATGGCTAACACAAACTGTGCATCAACAAATGAGCTGCAGTCTCTAACTGTGTACCAGTAAGGTGGAGCTACAAGAGAGGAGTTTCTAATAAATATGTATTAACAAATATCTTTTGATATTTTTTGTCTTAGTAACAGTGAATGCAGGTTCCCAAGGTGGGCTGCTTTGTCTTTTCTTGATGTTTGTTTTTGGAACTGGGACAATAACAGAGGATTTGGAGCAGTAGGGCATTGTCCACGGGGCCAAGGATTGATTGAAGGTGTGTGTGAAGACAGCAGCTAGGACAAGCCTGACCAGGATAGAAAAAAATTACCATTTTAAGGGGAAAATGTTGTTCTCACTCACTGATATTCAGAGACGCTCTTCGAGTGTTCATGGTTCTATACAGAACTACTAAAGAAGCCTTGAAGAACCATCTTTAAGAGTGTATAGTATAGAGATGTGTAAGGTAAGAACACAGTGCATCCTGTAAGAATACAGTTTAGCGTGTATAATGTAAGAATGTAATAGAGTGTAGAGTGTTCAGCTATTGTATATAGTCTTTAGTGTAAAAATATAATATTTTGTATAGTGTGAGAATATCGTTGCTCTCCAAAGAAAAAAAATGTATCCCCACACTGTAACTTTACAGTAGAAGGCAAAAATGTTCTTAAGTTGTAAAGTAAGTTAATTTAAAGACATTTTACTCAAAGTCATCCTGGAGCATTTCTATTGGTCCATCGATCATGAAATTTCCACGTAATGTGAAAGACAGCTGCCATGTTCAAATGATGTAGAAAAATGAACAAAAATTTCATTTTTGTTTTTTTAGAGAGCAACAATATAGTATTTATCAGGGGTCGGCAACATGCTGCTCCAGCTCCGCATGTGGCTCTTTTACTGCCCTGTTGTGGCTCCACAGCAGAATCAGATTTGTAGGTAAAAATAAAATAATCCTCCTTTACAGTAAAATAAAGCTCTGCTGATCGTTCAACACAGTTTAACAATAAATGGTCTTAAACTCTGGAGTTAATGTAGAACTGCTAATTCACCCTTTAACCCTGAAGATCAGCACAGACTGCTGGTCACCATAGCAACACAGACAACAGTCTTGCCTAGCTTGTAGCTAACGAAAAGGCAAAGAGAGAGATTTAAGACAAACATTAATATTTCGGTGGCGCATTTATAATCACTCCAGCTGGTTTCCTGATACGTTTAATCTGCAAGGAGAAACTGACAAACACTAAACAGTTGCGAAGCTGAAGTCAGATTCTTGTTCTCCAGCTTCTCATTTGAATTTATCCATTCCACCTTAAATGGTGCCGGCTGCACTACTCAAGGTGGAATGGGAAAATCAGAACAAGAAGCTGACGAATGAGAAGCGACTTCAGACTCATTAGAAATCAAACGTTGAGAGATATTTTAAAAGAAACTCTTCCATTTTTGGAAAAGTTTCCTGTTGGAGATGTGAGAAACGTGGCTATAGCTGAGCTAAAGATTAAAGCCCAGCAAAGTAAATAGTTTTGTTTGTATTGTAAATCAGCACATACTGAGACATATTTGCAGCCAAGATGGTAAAATGGACATAAAATGTTGTGGCTCCCAAGGTGGTACCCCTGATATATAGAGTACAGTGTAAAACCCATATGCCAAACACAAGGCCCGATGTACTTTATTGTCGCTGTCTAAAAAAACAAAAACTCTTTTTTTTGTTCTTTTTTCTACCATCCTATCTGGCACGCGAAATTATACTGATTTTCTATCAACATTTCACAACACCCTGCACCACAATGCGCAGCATACACTGTACACCCCACCCCCCTCCCCCAACAGCAATCTATGGGACTGAGGTCACACCTCTATGTTCAAGAGAAGAAGTAGGTTTATAAGACCAACCTCCTGAAGACATTTTTTTTATATATATTTTAAGTTTTATGTTATGTAAGGTTTATAACAAGTGCCTATATTTGCTGTTGACGTTTTACCATATTCTACAGTCCAGGTTACGGATAAATAAAAACATGTTTTCTGGCCCCTGATTTGTTGAGATTTTTTAATCTGGTCCTTTTAGTGGTTTACTTTGACACCCCTGGTGGAGGAGAGAGGTGCACAGAGCCTGAACTGAAACACGGGGCCTGTTTTCGCCCTTGCTGTAACCTCTTCAGTTATGCTGATGTGTATATTTCCTTTAGGAGGAACGAGTAACGTTAGCCAAAGATCTATTCAACAACTTCCTGGATTCAGTCACATTCAGTCAGAGTCTATTCATCAGCCGGATGTCTTTTCAGCTTATCTATTCCCCGCTGGTGTCTTTCACTCCTCATATCTCTGGCTTCTGTCTCTCTTTATTTGTGCATCTGTCCCTCTCCCGTCCTATCTCTGCCTCGTCTTTTTTTATTCAGGCTCATATCTCCCTCTCACTCTCTCTCCCTCTCTCCCTTTCTCTCTTTCTCTCTCTCTCTCATTATTTGCTCACATCCTCATATCTGCTCTGCTCTTTTTCCAACCTTTCTCGTTCTGTATGTGCCAGTCGTGCACTCTCTTTCTCTAACCTTTTCTTTCTTTATTAGTGAATATGTCCTGCTCTCTCTCTCTCTCTCTATCTCTATCTCTCTCTCTTTCTCTGTGGATGAGGCTCTGAATTTTGCAATTCTGCTGGCTCATTTTCTCCAATGCACTGCCTCTTGAAGTGAAAACATGAAAGATCTTTCTTTCGGCTCAAATTTGATCAAATAAGACAAATGCAAATGGAAGCGTTTTAATGACTTGACAGCCCTAATATAGGAGTAACACATTACGAAACTCAATGTGCCGCATTTCAACAATCTGATTGGCTGCCGTCCAGCGAAACTGGCTTAATTTGCATAATGCTACAAAAACTTTTTCTTCACTCTCGTATTTGTGCATGACAGCCACCTGTCTCCATGCACTGCAAAATGTGATATCTTAGCAATAGACTATCTGAGATATCTTAGCAAATCATCTTAAATATCAGCTATTTGGGTTCATGAGTGGCACAGCCGTCTAAGCGTTGGCCCTGTCATCAGAAGATCGCGAGTCTGATCCCTGGTGATGCTACAGCCGTCCGTCTCTGGGTGGGTAGGATGGCCCCCCCATCTCCCCCCATCACTCAGTGCGATGCTAGTCAGCGCATGTGTCTGTTAGCTGATGTAACAGAACTGGCAGCTGGCACTTTCCTCAGAGCACGTTCTGTGGAGCTTCACAGGTCTCAGAGGAAGCCTGTGTTAGCCTTCGCCCTACTAGCGCTGGTCGTATGGTGCGATTGGGATAGTCCTAACTAACAGTTGGAACTGGAGACGACTAAATTGGGAAAAAAAATTCTCCTGAGATCGTCATAAGAAACGTCATATGAAAAAACATTCAGCTTATTACTTGATGCTCTTACTCGTCTTAAGCTTTATCAGAAGAAATTCTATTATTCTTTTGGCAAAAGCATTGATGGTAAAC